CTGGGACAGGAGGGAGTACCCTTGCTTCAGTCTGCACAGAATATGAGGTAAGAAGCAAGATGTCGGCTTCCACTGGTCCCAACAGCAGCACATGGCCACTTCTGATGGCTAATGTCACTCAGTGACACCTGGGTGTCCAGTCCCTTTCTGGGCACTGTTGTTGCCATGGTTACAAATGCAGATCCAGTTCTCAGCTCCAAGCTTGAAGAGTCCTGCCCCTGGCTATGGTGGTGGTGCAGACAGGCTGGGTGAACAGGTCTGCTTTGCCTCATTCACTGGCCGCTGGCCTTTCTTCCATCTGTAGTCAACCAAGATCCGGCCTTTTGTTTTGACAATACCCCAAGGCCCAGTTCCCAAGTGACAGTGTCCAGGCCAGGCTGCCAGGAGCCAGCCACCACTAAGCAAGCACGCGACTCCTTCTGGACCTCCGCTTTTCCTCTGAAGCAGAGCAGGACCCACTATGCCAGCCACTTGTGAGGACCAGCTAAAACGCCTTTGGAAGCAAGCTGGCCCCATGATGTAGAGGCTGTGGTCCCCTCCCAGCGGCCTGTGTCCTGAGTAAAGAGGGTGGCCGAGAGCTGCTGTTATCCCAATGCCAGGCCCACACAGAGTCATGGGATTTTTGCATTGGCGGGACCTGACATCCACTCATACTGGTGGCTTTGTCCTCAGCACTACCCAGAAGCCCTTTCTAAAGCAGGGTCTTTCCCCCTGAGCCCATCACACAGGGACTCAGGTCAGGGTCTCCTCAGCCTGTGGGGTACAAGGCGAGGGGTCCACTGCAGGTTCAGAGAGCTGCAGAGGAGGCTGTCCTCAGAATCTTAGCTGCCTCTGGGTGCTGGAAGAGTCAGGGAATGGATGCTAATACAGACAACCCTGAGCAGGCAATGGTCTCTAGAGGCCGGGGGTGGGGCAGGGGTGGGGCAACACTCCCTCTAAGAACCACAGACACACCGTACCAGGGATGAGGGAGGGATCCCAGGTACAGATGCATGTGCCCGGAAAGGAGGTGGTACCAGTGAACAGTCCCTAAGCGTGTGCATGCACATGAATGTGACATCATGTCAGTGTTTGGCTGGCTTCTATGTAGTGTAAATGTGTGTGCATGTGTGCATGCATGTGTGTTACCGCTGTGTGAGTGTGTGCGTGCAGACGTCCGAAGCTGGCGGGACCTGCTCTGCCTACACTGAGGATTCCTAGGAGGGACAAGTCAGCCCGCAGGGAAGGGAGACAGGCTGACAGGTGTTGTGAACACTTTAGGGCCTCTCAGCCACATTAACTGGGAACTGACCTGGAGAGTGGAGACTTAGTGTGGGAAGGTTCCGTGGCAGGAAAGCGCACTACAGAAGGAAGGGGGTTTTATCCATTGTCCACCCCAGAACCTGAAGAGCAAGGCAGGTTAGGAGGGAGTCGGGCATAACCCAGACTGGTGGATAGATACCAGACTATCCCCAGGCACATGAGTCTCCAGGTAGGGCAGCTGGGAACAGCAGTGGAAAGGAGGTTGGTGGGGCCCACAGGCACCTGTGACCCCAGAGCAGGGGTAGGAAGCTGTCAGGAGGTGACAAGCATCAGTAGAAGGTGAAGCCCGTGAGTCATCAAGTCCTGAACCTGGGATTCCCCAGATTCGGGAGAGTTTATCTCTGACATGGCCCTAGTGTGGCTTGTAAGCCTGTGTGTGGCTCATCACTGCGTGGGAGCACCCACACTGTGACGATCCACGTGCTGCTGGCCCAGCCTGGAGGCCACACTGAACACTTCTCTGGAAGTATGCTGCCAAGTGATGACCATTTCCTAGGATATGAGGGTGGAATTCTGACAGGTAGTGTTTACCAAGTTCCTTGGTGTGGTGCCTCAACGTGGTCAGATGGAAGATGCCATATGGTGCAAACTGGCTCCCAGAATTCCTGAAAACTTAATGAGTGCCATGATGCAGCTTTAACAATCAGTTGGAGGTGCCCTCCCAGCTGTGAGGACAGGAGTTGAAGACACAATCCCCGTCAGCAGCTTTCAGCAGAGAGCTTTATTGGGGGTTCACAGAAAAAAAAAAAAAAAATGCTGAGAAGGGGACAGATCAGGTTCAGGACTGAGCTTCCAGGAAAGGCAACTCAGCAGCCAACCATCCTAGGTTTTTACCTGGCTGAGAGCTGCCAAGGGTCCAGAACATTCCACCTCAGTCTACAACTTACCTACCCCACCTCTGACCCCACCCAAGGAACTCGGCGTAGAACCTTGTCTTAGGAAACCACGTGTGACTAGTGGGAGGGAAAGTGTCCAGAGGGGCCAGTGGATGGGACCTGGGATGGTGAGTTTATACTGATTGGAGGGGTGGGGGAGAACAACACTGAGCCCTGGGGCACCAACTGCCCACTGTGCCTGAGGAGTATCTGGGAACCTCTGTTTGTGTGGTGAGGTTCCTCCTGATTTCTAGAGTCTGGGGAGGGGTACCGAGAGGGGCCGACCCAGAGTCTCTGGAATATCCAGGGTCTGCAGGGTTGGGGAGGAAGAACTTCTCATTCAAGGACGGAAGGATGGTGAAGTTGGTAGAAGCAGGTCGGATCCAGGGAGAAAGAGCATCTCAATGCACCCCTCCCCCTGCAAGTCTCCATCAGGGAGTCAGCCTCATACTTATCCTGTGAGCTGGTCGTGGAAGGGAAGAGCCAGGACAGGGAATGGCATAGCAGGGAGATGGGAGCCTGGATGAGCAGGAGAGCGCTGGGGTCTCAGGGGTTCTCCTCACGGGATGAGGGAGCATGCTGTCTCCAGGATCCACACAGGGACTGTGCAGGAGCCCTGTCGATGCACAATCAGGTAGGGCCAAGCCCTAGGTGAAAGGCAGCAAGACTGGCAGTGAGCTGAGCATCCTGGGAAGGAATCCTACCCCTGTGTATCTAAAGGGCCCACTGGGTGATTCTGGGACAAGAGCCACAGAAGAGCTCTAGGGTACTGACCTCACCACCTAGTCTCCATCCATTCTCTCGCCTGACCTGGTCATGTCAGTGGAACAGACCTGAGAGAGCACAGCAGGCTCCTAACACAGGGCCTCCCTACTACGTAGGGTGGTGGAAGGGCTGTCGGGGCCCAGCTTCCACCTGTGCTGTGACACCAGCCTGGAAGCAGCTACGCTCCCTGCACCACACATCACACCACACAGTAAAAGGAACACAAGCCATGTCCTCTGCACCAGCTCTTCCCAGAGCAGGTGCCAGGCTAGAGCTGTCCCTGTTCATAGAGCAGACACAGCCACTTCGGTACTGCCACAGCATCAGGATAGCACCCAGTCTTTAATCTAAGCCCTCTGGTCTTTTAGCCTCTTCACCTTGAGACAGAATCCTCCAGGTCCACACCACTCAGCCCTCAGCACCTGCCTCCACTGAACACTTACCAGGACACCACGTGTTGGCCATGTCTGGGCCATGTGGGCCAGTCAGCAGTCACATTAGTGCCTGGTGTCCCTGAGGAGGCTACCTCACAGTTCCAATTCTTACTGGAATGGGAATGGTGTTACTAGGCCCTGCCAGGGCCCGACCCCTGCAGCCCTGCCGACAGTGTAGCTTGGCCCAGTGTAGGAGGAATCTTGGCCCAGGGGTGGGCAGGATCTGAGCTCATCCAAGCCTCCAGATTAGCACTCCACTCAGGCTGCACATGTTGCACATGGTGGCCCCAGGGCCACCATGTGAGCACTCCCCAGTGGGGCAAGTCTGGAATTCATGAGTGTTTCTTTTTCACACACTTCTACAGCTGACAGTCATGTGGCCTCAGGTACCATGTCTCGTGGTGACAGAACTGTGGGCCACAGTGATGCTAAAACCAAGCGAGTCCAGGCCCCAGACACAGTCTCACCTTGTCCCTGCAGATCACAAAAGAATCCCCAACACAAACAGAAGTCACAGTCAATTTGTGCTTGAAGAGGCATCTAGACCCGACACTCAACATCCACACAGTCTACACTCATTTGCTTCTCCCACGTACTCAACATTGCTTAAACACTTATACAAAAAGACAGTAAATAATAGAACTGGAAGTTAAGTAGGTGGCTGTAACATCTACCCCTGAACGTGAAGTAATATCGGTAAGAAAATTGATCACCGAAGTAACTCTGGGATTTCAGCGAGGTGAAAAGAGAAGTTCTTGTTGCCAGAGAAAAGCCGTGTCCTGTTGATGGGCATGGAAACCTCAAACACCAGTCCCCCCTCCTCCGAAAAAGCTGCTTTAGATTTCGGCAGTAGAAAAGCAAGGCACAGGAGCCGCGGTGATTGACAGGCTTCCACTGGCCAGGCACAGATGGGAGCGGCAGAAGCAGGAGAGGCCTTACGTTGTCTGGCAGCTGACACTGCCTCGGTGACCCCATGCTAGACCTTTCTCATGTTTCCACATTTCTCCCCCATCAGTCAGCTGAAATTTTGGCACAAGGGCAACTCAAGCGCTCCCAGAACAAAGGTCAGTGCAGGCCGGTGCAGGCTGTACTTTGCACTGACCTCTCTAGAAAGGCCTAGATTGCCAGTGCTTTGCTCTGGGAAAGGGCAGCATCTCTATGTTCAGATGTCCTGGGAGTGCAAGGGTAAACAGAGTGAGCCACTCGCCAGTGGCAAAGCTGCTGGTGCCTCCAACTGACAATGCTGCAGCCATCCTCCCCACCAGGGCCCCATCCTTGTGTGTACAAAGAACCAATTTCCACAGCACCGAGTGGAAAACGTTGGCAGATAGATCAGAGGGGTCGCCGCAGACCTACACCACTAACAGCATGGGTTTAGGTGCCAGATGAATCCAGCCCTGGCAAGGTATTCCACTTCTCCAAACCTCAGTTTACCTACCCATTAAGATGGGCAAAACCCCTACTGTGTAGGCAGTGGCTGCCGAGACCAAATGCCAGTGAGAGTGCTTTGGGGACTGTGCAGAAGCAGCAAGAGTGCACATCCCTGGTTACACAAGAGCACCATCACCTCCACCTGCTACAGAAACCAGGGCAGCCCGGCTCAGTGGCCCACCCGAGGCAGGCGCTAGGGCACAGGACTGAGAGGCTCCTTGGAGACCGGTGCACTAGGCAGGGACTTGAGGTACTCCAGGTGTCGCCTGGCATCCTCCTGATTGTGACGCACATAGTACACGACGTAGGCAATCACCATAGTGAACCAGCAGAACATGGTGACCAGCATGGCCACATCGGTGGTCTTCCGGTGGGTACTGCAAAAGCTGGCACCCGAGTCCAAGACCTGGATCAGCGGCTTCCCCACAAACTGCTCCTGTGCTGAGGTGTGGCAGGCAATTTCATCCACGGAGTCAGGGTCCAGTTTCAGCTCCCACAGGGCCTCCTGCAGGGCACACTCACAGTGCAGTGGATTGTGGGACAGGCGGATCTTGGCACTCAACTTGCCCAGTGCGTCCTTGGGAATTCTTCGGATGCGATTGTGGGATAAATCCAGAAGCCGCAGGCCCCCAGCCAGACCTGAGAAGGCTGCAGGCCCAATGGCCTCGATGGCATTATGGGACAGGTCCAGCTCCCTCAGCTGAGGCAGGTTCTGGAAGGCTCCGTTGGGGACTCGGGAGATTCTGTTGGCATCTAGCTTCAGAAGCACCGTGTCCACTGGGATGTCCCTGGGGATCTCCTGCAGGCCTTTTGAGCTGCAATGGACAGCCACAGCCCCAGCATGGTCAGGGCACTGGCAGGCCTGTGGGCAGGAGGTACCTAAGTGCAAGCAGAAGAGGATGAAGAAGCAAGACCCCTGGGTGGGGGCCAGTGGAGATGAGGGGCTCTGCCTGCCCCTGGGGCCCATCTTGCCTCCACCTGACCCACGTGGCTCTTCCCTACTGGGATTTGCTGGTGAGTGTCCTTCTCCACGTTGTAGGCAGTCATCCAACACAGACTCTGTGTCCTCACCTGCAGACGAGCCTAATGGTCTCAGGTCTACAAGAAAAAAAGAAAGAGGTGGGGGTGACTGGTGCTGTCCATTACCGTCCATCTGGGTGGATAGAACCAGGGAGCAAAGGCGTCAATAGACACACGGGGCTTGAGACTCTCAAACATACCTGCTTTGTAACTTACTCTGGAAGATTCCCAAGGCCAGCTAAAAAAGACAACTAGGGCTAACCACCCTAGCGAGGTGGTTACAGAACCCTGCCCTAACCCTGGCCACCCACCCATAGCTGGGGACCCAAGTCTGGGCGAAGGCCCAGGGATCCATCTCTCTCCCCTCCCCCAACTCCAGGCAAGTGCTGGCGGAGGGCTTCCCTCCGGATCTGCGATCTGCCAGCCAGGTCGGGCGGGGCAGGTGGCCGCGTGAGCCTGTTTGTCCCCGAGCACTCGGCTACCTGTGACACCTTAGAGACTGCGGTCATCAGTAGAGCTCGCCGGGCGCTCCGAAGCAGCAGCTCCACGCTCGCTCGCAGCGGAGAGGAAGCAGCCCCCGGCGAGCGGCCGGGCTGGGCGGGGAGCGGCGGCAGAGAGCAGAGTGGCAGGGCTGGGACACCGGAGCCCCG